AGGGTTGTTTGTTTGTTGTTTTTTAATCCTTTCACGTTTTTCACCAGGTCTCCCAACCCCCTTTCCTCTGACTGTCTGTTTTCTGTATCTATGAGTGTTTCTATTTTGTCTGTTTATTTTGTTTGTTAGGTTTCACATATAAGTGAAATCATATGGTACTTGTCTTTCTCTGACTGGCTTATTTCACGTAGCGTAATACTCTCCAGACCCATCCTTGCTGTTGCAAAAGGTAAGATTTCCTTCTTTTTTACAGCTGAGTAGTATTCCATTGTGTAAATGTACCACAGCTTTTTTTTATCCACTAATCTACTGTTGGGCACTTGGGCTGCTTTTATATCTTAACTATTGTAAATAATGCTGCAATGAACATAGGGGTGCATATAGTCTTTCAAACTAGTATTTCAAGTTTCTTAGGATATATTCCCAGAAGTGGAATCACTGGGTCATAAAGCAATTCCATTTTTAATTTTTTAAAGGAAACTCCATACTGTTTGTCACAGTGGCTACACCAACCTTCATTCCCACCAACAGTGCACAAGGGTTCCCTTTTCTACACATCATCACCAGCACTTGTTTGTTATTGATGATAGACATCCTGACAGGTGTGAGGTGGTATCTCATTATGGTTTTAATTTGCATTTCTCTGATGATCAGTGATGTTGAGCATCTTTCTGTTTTTTTGTTTATTTTCAATGTAGGGGACTTACACATCTTTTGTTAAATTTATCCTTAAGTTTGCAATGTTCTTTAATCCTATTTTAAATGGTATAGTTTTCTTGGTTTTATTGTCTGATTGTTCACTACTAGTATGTAGTGAAATATAATTGACATTTTATATTTAACTTGCATTCTTCAGAGTTAACAATAAAATCTGTAATTCAAGATAATTTTCCTGATAGAAAAATATATACTTAAAAGTATATATTTAAAGAGTTTTCAGCCCAGAATGACTTCTAGTAAGATTATTGGACTTTATTGAATTTGACCAGATAAGCAAAAGGAACAAGTTTCTTATAAGTAATTTATACAGGAAATAAAATTAGATTATTATCCAACTTTCAACAGCAACACTTTGTCATAAGAAAATAGTCATATATTTAAAATATGCAAGGAAAAAAAGGTGAGCTGTTGTGAATCAAAACTCAGCGACAGAGATGTGATGGAAATGCTCTTTGAGGAAGATTATTTTAGCAGCCTTTTAAGATACAGATTAAAGTAGGATGCCACATCGTAACATATATAAATATCACATTGTTATTGGATATGAGAGGGCCTCATCTCCCCCAGTTGCTCATGGAAGTAGGGTTCTTAGGGTACCGCTGGTATAAGCATTTCCAGAGGCCCCCAGTGGGAGGATGTGATATGGTAGAATGCCTTATTTCCATGGAATTACACCCCCGGGTTTTCAAAGTCCCTTTTTCATTAGTCCAGTCATAGAAGAAATGTAGCTGGGGCTTCAGTAGAGCTAAAATCAGAGCCAGTGTCCAGAGTTTCCTTTCCATGTTGGAGCCCGGTCCAGTCCAGCATCAGGCTTGCTTAGTTGGTGTTCCCAGGCGCAGTCCATCAGTCCACTGCACGTGGGGTCCACAGCGCCACATGGCTGTGGAGGAAACATGGGCAACAGCAAAACAAGGGAGCCGCACGAGCTAAGAGCCAAGCGCAACAAAAGAGAGAATTCCTTTCTTTAGGGGATTATGTATTCCCAGATTTTCACATACTTGCAGTGGCCATGCCCATTCTGGCCATTGATCTCTGTTCACAGGTGTTTGACCAGCAAGTATCTTTCCTGTGTCACCCCAACTTCACTGGGCATGTGTCTGCTTTCCCTTTGTTGGATTCCTTCCCCCAGTGTTTTGCAGAGAATAGGCTGATGGTCCCTGAGGAGTGCAAACTTGCAGCTACCTGGTGAAGCTGCCCAAACGACATGACTAAAATGTCTGGCCTCCCTGTTGCTCCTTTTCTTTTATTAATAACTAGCTAATTACAATGGTATCAAAATCACTGTGATATAAATGTTATAACTGTTATAACTGTTATAAATGTAATATTGTATGTCAACTATATTTTAATTTTAAAAAATCATTAGTTAGTTAAAGAGTAGGATGTGGTGATACAACAAACAAATCTTAGAAAAATCTAGACCAGACAGTCTACTAGAATTTTCCACAGTGATGGAATTAGTCTAACTGCACGATTCCATAGTAGTCACGAGCTTATGTGGCTGTTGAGCACTTGAAATGTGGTTTTGAAACTGAGAAACTGAGTTTTAAATTTTATTTAATTGTAATTAGTTCCCATTTAAATTTATATAGCATCATATGGTTAATTATCACCATATTGGACAATGCAGATGTAGGCAATATAAAACCTAAACACTAGTCTGTGACTAAAGAAATGGAATTAGAAAAGGATATCCAAGAGATGCAAAGGAAAAAAGAAACAATGTTTTCATAAGTGAAAAAGAAAAAGAAAAAAAGAGTTAATTAAAAGGCAAAGTACTGGGGAGATTGGGGAAACTTGTACCATCCAATAAAAAGGCTATATTGTATCTAGGGCTATTTGGAAAACGAGATATTTTAACATGTTGAGTTCCCTGTGGTACTCCTCCAAGTGTAAATGACTATAAACAATTAGAATTCTTACACTAAATTAGGAGAGGAGGTCAAAGCAAAAAAAAAAAAAAATTAATTTCTCTCATGAAAGAGTCTTTTCTGCCTCCATACACCCCTTTGCAGACATTACCTTGTCCTAACCCTCATGGAGAGACCCTGATATATAGCATCATACTGATGGTTCAGAGAAATTATTTCACCTACTGAGCAATTAATATGAAATTAATTACGGCAATACTTAGTGGTACGGAGACGATCAAGGAGAAATTTGATTTTGTTCTAGAAAGCAAAAATACAAGATAAAATATTGCTTTGCGTACATGGAGTACTTTTCATCCAAGAATCTCTGCTTACTCAGCAAGCTTAATTAATGAGAAAACCTCAAAGAAAGAGAAGTGATAAAATAGGGAACCCGGATACCGGTGTTCTGTTTCTGTAATATTTAAAAATGAAGCTTGGTGTTTTCCTCTTTCATTAATGCACGAGGGTAGCCCCAGGCGGCAGCCATGAGGTGTTCATCTTTCTGCTGAATGATTTCTCTTGAAGGCATCCCACTTAGGAGGGAAAGTAACCGCACAGAACCCACCCCCTAACTGTATTGATGTCCTGCACTCTATTTGCAATGGAAATCCATCCCTGTCATATAGTGCAGCAAGTGCTCTCTGATAATCCAGTCTGCACTGTCCCTGGAAAGACTGTTTTGTTGCAGAATGGAGCAGGTTATCTCCTTTATCAAAAAATTATTCAAAACAAACATCCATGAATCTAGGACTAACATGCATCAAAAGAGGATAGGCAGGGCCTCTTAGCAGGTACCCTCCTGTGTAATCTTCCTTTCATCTTCATTCAGAATCCCTTGGAGATTCAAACTCCCCTTTGCAAAAATATAAATTCTTCTAATTGTTTATATGCAGTGCAGGGTACATGATTTGACCTAGTCATAGCGATATGCAGCAAAGCACCCTGACATTTATTTTCATCTGTTGCAACTTGAGGACAGATGCTGGTTTTTTGTCCTATCCTGTCTTCATCTATTTTTTCTCCCTCCCTCCTCTATTAAAGAAAAAAAAAGCCATTCTGCCAAAAGAGAAAATACCTTGAAAGATCATGGCTTTTAAAGATTTTTACAAAGAGTTTGATATTCAGTAAAATAAAACTAGCTGCCTTGTGCAGAAAACAGCCGTTTTTGTTTGAAGAGAAGAAACCACTGAGAGAGTTCGGTGTTTGTTTTCACTCACCTAAGCCTTCAATATATACCTTCAGGCATAGCCAGATCTCAGCCCACAGCCCCCTCGTGTTCTCTGAGCCCGGGACTTCAGGTTTGCCAGCATCCCTTCTTGAGAGTCTTTCTTTCATCATCTTACTTCTCTCGTCCTGTACACAGTACACCTTGCTTGCCCAGTGATGTGTAAGGTCACATTCTTTCCTCATTAGAGCCAAAACCCTCCTGACACCATCAGATCACCATTGTCCAATAAGATACACAGTGACCTTTCCATTTTAACACCAAACTGGGAATTTAGGAGAGCTGATCTAACACTTTCCAGATTAAATGTCAAATTCTCAAAATTCAGATGGATTTGGAATCCACCTAAGTATACTTTTTCTGCTCCCATTCCCAGTAGTCTACACAGTACACTGATTAGCAGTAGATTTTGTGGTATCACTTACGGCTTTAGCGCCATGGAGTTCTGCCCGTAATGGCGTTTAATTCATTTATATGTGCCAATTCATCTCTGTCAGGAGTCTATTAATTTCTTTCCTATTTTACTCTGTCCCTAGTCCTGATATAATGAGACACAGTGATCCCCATTTATGTAACCAAAAAACTTAGAGTTTCTCATAAATTAAATCTGATCCCATTGCTTTTAGTGACCAGAAAGCCTCCATATTTCTTTTTCATATTCAAATCAATTTTGCAAGCTGTTCTCTTTAGAAGGATACACTAGAGCTCTAGGGTGCCAAACAGTGAAATCCTAGACAAAGTATAAGATTATGATAAGCTGTTTAACAAGCATCCCTATTCCAAGGCAGGCTTCCATAGTAACACACCGAAGACGTCCTGTTCTCGCGAGCACATCCCACTTACAGGGAAGGAATATTAATGAAAGCGAGCCCGACTGCAGTCAGCCCAGTCATCAGTGGGCAGGATGTTAAAATACCTACAGCATTGCTCTAAAAGTAAAGAGTCTGTAACAAATAAAGGCTGTGCATATAAAATGAACCCCGTGGAATATGGTATTTGCATTTCTGTATGGTGTGGTCTTGAGTATACAGGAAAGTGACAACTGTGACTGACTAGGAAGAATTAATGTAGAATTAAGAGAGTGTATCGCTGTATTAGCATGTAAACTCACATGTCCATGTTACCTGTTCTACATTTTTTAGGATCGGAGCAAAACATCAGGAGCTAAGGGAAAAGCAGGCAAGAGGTCTTGTTGATTATGCCACTGGTACAATTGGATCACTGCATGATATGGAAGATGATGAAATGGACCCCAATTATGCCAGAGTGAACCACTTCCGGGAACCGTGTGCACCAGCAAATGTCTATAGGTCTCCATCTCCCCCTCGGGCTGTACCACTGGTTTATCCCCGCGATGGCCGTCCACTGTCTCCAGAGAGAGACCACTTGGAGGGTCTTTATGCCAAGGTCAACAAGCCATACCATCCGCCAGTGCCCGCTGACAGGTAATATAACTTACTGAAAGATGAATGTAGTTTTAGTTTAGCAAGTTTCAAATTACCTCTACTTCTAAAGCAGATAAAAATATACTCTTCAGTCTATTAAAACTGAAATGACACAGTACCCTTGACAAGTGCTCTGCTCTGACCTACCTCTAAGGTATCCATCAGCTATCAGAAATGAAGCAATAGCCAGTTATAAGATGACATGAATGAGTAGTAGAATTCGAATTCGTGGCACAACAGGGAGCAGTGTTTGAAGGAATAAGGTGAAAATTTCGAAGCAGTATCGCCCTTTCTCCCAAGAGCCCTGCTGTGGAAGTCCTACTGACAGGAGGTAAGGAGCCATAGGACAGAAGGACGATTTTGAGGAGGCATAATTGAAGTGGAATTGCAGATCACTGCAGAGGGGCAGAGGCCTTTGCAAAGTAAGATTGGGATTTTATACTCATGGCAGTGTGGTCCTATACAGATGTTCATGGATGATCAGAGACAGAAAAGGTGGTAATCTTGGCAATAGGAGTTTGATGAAGTAGAGAAAGATAAGAGGTGACAAGGCCAAGGATCTTCAGATGTAGCAGCTATGGAGAGAGATAATAGGACCATCTGTCACACAATCGAAGTAGGTAAGAAACAAGATGATTCCAACCCCACCTCCTGCCAAAAGTAAAATACTTCATCTCCTGAAAGGCTGATAGAAGAGAGTGCTAGTCAGTATCCATTGTTAGGTGACCCTCGGAATGACACAGGCAAGGGATGAGCTGACTGACCTTGGTTTAATCTGCTGTAGCATGAAGTCCGGAGGGAGGAGGTGAGGGGGTAAGGGTGGCAGAAACAAAGAGCTCTCATTCTAGATGGGAAAAAAGACTTGTTTTCCAGATTCCTTTTGCTCCTGACACCCACCCAGTCCCTATTAGTAACCAGCTTTTGTGTGATAGCATGATATATTGCATATGTTTACCGTTTACATTTCCCCAGCTGGGTGATATTATGCACTTTCAATTAGGTTGGGGAGAGGCAGGGAAATCATGGCATTTTTATGCAGACTGTAAAGTGTAGCTTCACAAGACTGATTACCTTTCAGAGCCTTTCCAATAACCAAGTGGGAAGGAAGGAGCAATTTTTAATCCTTACTGTCAAGCTTCCAGGTTCATAGTATTAAAGAAAGATGGTCAAGTTTTTCTTTGGGATAAAATGAAAATATAAATTTCTATGACTGTGTGAGAGAGCCATAATGACTAAACTGTTAATTCAAACAACTGATTAAAGTCAGTCTTTTTCTCCCAAGCCTTTGCCTAGGGTTGAATTTTTGTCATATAAATGATAATGCCAAGCATGAGTCTCTTCTGGCCCAGAGCACAGGAAATCTTACTTTCTCCAGATCAGATAGGTCTTCCTAGCAATCCCCTTTGCATATGCCCACTGTTGGAATCCCAGCACGGAACAGTTTGTAGGAACCTCCAAAGCCAGTATTTCTCAATATGAATTCCAAGGAAACACATATGAAGCATTCTGTTGGAAAAAAAATGTTCACTCGTCAAATGCTGTGGAGAATTCTGGATTAAGCCACACTGAACAAGTTTCCTGACTGTGGGCTTTTCTCTCTCGAATATTCTCATGTGCACTGGAAGTCTCTAAGGGCTTCACGCAACAGTCAGCACTGACCACTCCCCAAATTTTTGTCACCTACCGCTTATTCCCCACCCCACCCCCAGATCATAAGGTTATTCTTTGGAGCACTAGGAAACACTATCCTGATGCTAATTTTCACTTAAGTAGATTTGACCAGGAAAGAAATTTCTTAGGATAATCACAACTGGAGCCACTATAGAATGATACCAGAAAAAAAAATGTAATTAACTGCCCAGCACAGACATTTTATAAACAATAGTCTTTCCTTTGACGCTGACCTCTTTGTATTGACAAGTGATCTAAAGTTCTTTCTGTGGAATTTGAGACAGGTGTCATGTTTTTGGATAAAAGAATTTGGGCTCTCAGCATCTCAAGAGCAGGTTAAATCATGAGCTCTGGAATAAGGCTGAGCTGGGTCCAGTTCTCTTCCAGATACTGCAATATGACCTTCAGTAAATTGACTTTTCCAAGATGCCACCTCTCATCTTCATGCATATGATTCAATACCCATTCAGAGTGTCTACTAAGTACCAGGACCTGAGTTCAGTATGGTGTTCCTAAGGGAAAAGGAGGAAGATGGGTACTTATCCCTCCTTATGGAGCTTACAGTCCAGGGTAGGCTACAAAAACATAAACACACAATGAGACAGGGCGCAAAGCGCTACTGTGCAGAGCACGGGGTAACTGCCACAGCTGGGCTGCTGGGTTGGAGGTAGCGGCAGAGGCCCGGGTGCTGGGGAGCTGCGGGAAGCTCAGTTAAATAGAAAGATGCGAGAGAGGAGTCAGTGGCAAGATATCAAAGGGGAGGGTCAGAGAGCTGTGCTGATGGCAGAGGACAGACTCTTGGTGAGGCCTTTGGAGTCCATCCCCAGAGGTGGGGCAGGCTGGGGGGGGGGAAGGGGTCATGAACGAATCCTGGAATTCAGCCAGCTGTTAAATGGCCTCGGCACTTTATCCTCACCTCCTGATCTGCAAAAGGGGGATTATAACAACAGCTAATAACATGGCGTGAGAGTTAAGTACAATTTTACATTTTGCATTTTTTTTGAATCGCTATATAAAACAAACTTCTATTTGTCCGTATATCTCTGCATCACAGGAATGTACCATATGTGTGTGGCCCACAGTGGCTTCCTAATAGAGGCAGCATCTGCCCCTATTTCTATGCTTCTCAAGGCTCGGCCCTGACCGTTCAGCTCTTCTAAGAAAAGCTTGACTTATAAAGGATTCATCTGCAAATGATGATAGTTTAAAAAAATCCCTACCCCTGTGGCAGGATCATAGGACTGGATTCTCACAGCGCTGATCCTTCCAAGATATGAACAGAGCATGGGTTAAGTCCTGTCCCCAAAAGCCTGATGACTTAGGGTTTATAATGTGTTCGTCTCCACTGAACTTGGCAGTTTAAGGGCTCCCACGATGTACGCACAGAAAAGCTCTGTGTTTGAGAGTAGACGAGTCCCACGAGGGGGGGTGGAAGACGGGGCTGCAGTTTTGCATTAGTTTATGTGGTTATTTGACATGTTGATTGATCACACACTGTATCAGTAAAAATGTTTTTTAATGTTAATGCCCCAAAATATAGGTATTTGATTCTAAATGATACACACTTACTTACCTTAGTAAGATATTCTATACATTATAAAACATATACCAAATACAGAAATTAGTAAAAGAACAATTTTTTTTTTATTTATAGGTAATATTTCTAGTATTTTCTTTCTTCCACTGGGATGCACATAGTTCATTTTGGGGAACTGTTCTCAACTTCAGGCCCCGTGGGAGCACGGACCTTGCCTGCTTCTGCTCACCATTATCTCCTTACAGAGCAGTCTATACGCAATAAATGTATAAGTACCTAAGATTTGACAGAATCCTGGAGTTCACTGGGGCGGTAGGTGGTCAAGTCTCGCATCCCATCCAGCAGAGGCATCTTCTCCACAAAACCCCTCCCAGGATGTCACTTGGCCTGTACATTCCAATGACAAGAAGTCATGAGGTGTCCTTTTTCTCTTTCAAATCACTCCAGTTGATACAGAAATGCCCACTTGTATCCACTCAAATGTTTTCTCTATGTGACATTTACCATAGGTCCTAGATTGACCTACCTGGACACAGAATCTAAACCTCATTAATAGCCCTTCAAATATTTGAATGGACTGCTGTGACCATCTTCATTACCAAATATTTATTGAACTCCAAACTTGTGGCAGGTTCTGTGCTCAGAGCTGGACTTCACAGGGAGGAAGAAAACATACACATAACCTTGAGAGATACAATCATTTCTTCAGTATAAACTCCTTTAGCTATCTTAATCACTTACATTATAGCCTACCCTGTAGCATCCTTGGTGACCATTTTCTGAATACACTTAACTGTACTAAATTTATAGAATTTATGCTTGCCATCTGTTGAATATGGCATGGAGACATGGACACCATATTTTAGATATGGTCAGAAAAGCACAGCATCTTTTGGTCTTAATCCTTTAAACTTATTAATGTGGACTTAAATTTTGTATTAGTCACCATTATTGGCTTAGATTACACTTTTTAACTAAAACTTCTATTTTGTTCTTACTTGAGTTGCTATCAAGCCAGATTCCTCAATATATTGTGCAAAATCCAATTATTTATACAATGATTTTTTAAAATGTAGTATATTTATTTATCCAAGTTAAATACTTATTAGGTTTAGCCTATTGTTATAGCCAGTAAAAATACTTTGAAGTATTTATTTTTGTCCTCCAAAAGGATATTAGCTGTCCTTCCTAGCTTTATATCATCCTTCTATTTAATCATTGTGGACACAGCCATGTCATTGATAAGATCGTTGATCAAAGTCAAGGGTAATCCCCACAATCCATCACTCAAGACCTCCATTAATCAACGCTGTTTGGGATGTATAGTTAACTATTAATGCAGTCTACTATTATCTAGTGTGTATTCTCCAGTTCATCCATGAACATTAGGGAAGACTTTGTCAAATATCTTACTGATCTCAAGGTACATCGTGTTTGTAAGTATCCCCTAACTTACCAATCTCATAACCTAGACAAAAAAGGGAGCTACTTGCTCTTGGTGAATCCTAGAGATTACTTTTTTCTGTTCTAGGTATTTGTAAATGATGTGTTTGTTTAGATTTAATTATGGAAAATAAAGATTTATGTGGTCCAGTGCAGTTTTAGGCACTTAGTATATACATACTAAATACTTATTGACTGATACACAACTGCTATGAAATTCAAGTGGCAAATGGCACACAGCTCCTCTGTACTTCAGTTAAGCAGCTTTGAAATCCTAGCAGATATTCACCAATGTTTGTAGGAAGTTTTTATCCAGCCTCTATTATATTTCCTAGGTCATACAAAGAAG